TGTTTCTTTGTCTCCGCATTTTGGCTGCTTCCCTGTGTTGATAGAGTGGCTTTCTGTGCTAGGTGTCCTATAGGGCCCAGTGGCTCAGCCTCCCTAATTACCTGAGGTGGACACTCTTGGTGCACCCCTTTGTGGGGTGTGTGCACAGTCTTGTTGTAGTGAAGCCTTGATTGTTGTTGGTATCACTGGGAGGAATTGACTTCCAGGCCAATTGGCTGTGAGGACCAGTGGTGTCTTCAATGGGACAACTGCTATGCTGGAGACACCCTTATGGAGCAGGACTTGCTTCAGTGGGACTTTGGTGCTCACTGAATCTGCCCCCTGAGTGTGTCACTTATGGATGTGAAGAGTTGTACTCTGGTATGGTCTCATTCTGACCACTGGGTACACTGGCTCTTGGATCTCTAAGGAGGTGCAAACTCAGCCATTGCCTGAGGCCACCCAGCAGGAGCTACAGACAGATCTGCAGATTCCTACTCTTTGTTTGGGGTTTGGAAGTGCCCACCTGAGGCCCCCCTGTGAAGCAGTGCAGGCTGCTCTAGGCCTTCTTTTGGAGGCTTTGGAGCTCTTTGACCCAGCTGCAGTTCGTTAGGTTTTAGATGGCAAAAGAACAGGCCATTCATATGCAAAAGCCTCTGCTCACTGCTTGGGTGGGGTTATAAATTGGGTGGGGCGGGGTCTCAGGGAATCATCAGGGTGGAGCAAACCACAATGGCTGCCAGTCTGCTCTGCTTCAGAGAGGTCCCGAGGTCTCTGTGTCCTGCAGCCCCATGCAGGCACAATAATCGCTGCAAGCACCTCTGCGAGAAAGCCGCTCTCGCGTTCCTGCCTGGTTCCAGACAGTCCAGTTTCTCCCTGTTTGAATCTGGGTCCCCAGAGTTTCACCCGGAACTGGAGTTCAGAGCAATTGGGAGCTTGTATCTTCCTCCCTATTGAAAAAGACAGCAGCATACCCAGTTGCCAGCCCGTTTCCGCACGCACGCACGCACGCTCCTCTGTACCTCTGCACTTCCGCACCTCTGCACCTCCTACCGGCTTGAGTGCACTTTTCTCTTTCCTTCTAGTTGTAGAATTTCCACTCAGCCAGCCTTCCCGTTGTTCTGGATGATGTCCGTTTTGTCTTTTAGTTGTAGTTTTGATGTGGTTGTACGTGGCAGCAAGTACAAGTGTGTACCTATGCTGCCATCTTGGTTCCTCCCTCTGTTCATTTGTAGCATCCTTTTAACTTTACAAAGTTTAGTCTTAAAAAATAGTTATTTCTAAAATAAAAAATTAACTTTGTAAAAGTGAAAATAGATTTTATTTGAAAGTAATCCTGCCAAGTGAATTATAAATAAGATATGATCATTATTATAATTAAATATTTTGAAATAGCCTTTTTTACTTTGAAGAAACTACCTTATGTTTGCATTTGCATAGCAAATATTTATCCATGCTTTATTAGGGTAAAGTTTTAATTGTCGAATTTTATTAAGATTTTTCATAATGTTAATTTAGTTTTAATTTTTTCATTTATTGGCTAATCTTTTTTAAATGACTTCATTGCTTTATTTCACCTTGTTTCTAAAATTTTATTATATATTGTGTAAGTAAATACATAATAGCAACATAATAAATGTTTAATCAAGGAAATCATAAAGAGAAAGTAAGATGACACTGGCAGATAGATTAAAAGTTTACCCATGCATGCTATGAAATCCTTTTTACTTGCCAAAGGTAAACCATATATTTGCTTTTTTTGTAGCTAATGGAATGAAGGATATGTGATCAGTTATATGAATCCAAATGCCAGAAGATTATCTCTTAAGTGACTATGCATTTTTGAATAAAGATTACTTTGCACTGTATTGACTCTTAAGTAAAAGAGGGAGTTTAATAAATCACATAGGTGTCAGTTTTAAAGAAATAGAGTATTTAATACTTTACATACTTAAATAAGAGTTTGTGACTTAATAAGAAAGTACAGTTTAGTCAGAACAATTATGTGGGACCCCAAATGGTGTTTAGGTATCTTGCTCTGTGTGGTCTGATTTAATCCAAGGATAGATAGATAAATTTTTGACTATTTATGGGAAAATATATATATGTATATATTTCATCAAGTAATATAAAAGATTAGATAAGATAAATAATATTGGCAACTCAGAACATCTGTACAACAGATACCTTGTCAGGGAGAAGAGTCTTGGGTTTATTACTCATCAATACTTATCCAAAAATATAATTTTTCTTAATTAATCTTTGGATAAATATTGATATCAATTAATAGTTAATGAAGTATACATGATATAGCAATTATAGTAATGTACTATTAATATGAATAATTAAATATTAACACATATTTTTGGGAAACTGCCTCAAAACTATATTTGTATTTTAAATCTTTGGAAAAGTATTGGTAAGTAGTAAATTCAAGTTTCTTCTTCCTGACAAAGTATCTGGTACATACTAGTAGATGTTCTGGGTTGCCAGTTTACTGTGGAACCTGTACTTCAGTGGAGTGTAGGCTTGATATGTCTTCTGGAAGTGCCTTAGTGAAGTGCACATCACTTCTAAAACAGTGGCAGCTAAGGATTGATTCTGAGGAGACCACTTACATCCTTTTTTAATTTTTTTTTAAAGACACAAATGAATATGGTTCTTTGGAAATAAGACTTTAAATGAAGTAAGATTTGTTAAATTGCTTCATCGTTAATTCCTCTATTTTGCCTAATGCTATCCTATCTAATAAAAGAGAAACATGGTAATTAGTCGTACCTCCGCTACCCTTCCCATTGGCTAATCAGGGCGATATGCAAATTAACTGCCAGCCAATATGGCGGCCGGCAGCCAGGCAGCTGATGGAAATAGGGAGGCTTGCTTGCTTCAGTGACGGAGGAAGCCAAGCTTCCCTGCCTGCCTTGCTGGCCTCTGAGCTGCAACTCTAAGAAACATTGTAACAAATATAGAAGCTAAACCAAACCCCAGAAACCTGCTTTAGTCAGCCAGGCTTCAGCCAGCAGGACCGCAACATTGTTTCAAATACAGAAGGTAAACAAAGGCCAGAAACCTGCTTTCAGCAGCCGAGGCCTCAGAGCTGGAGCCAAGCCTCAGAGCTAAAGCTGGCCCAGAATAAAAAAAAGAAAAAAAGGAGGGGTTGGGAGCTTCAGTCACCCGCCAGCCTGAAAACAGCCCTCAGCCCCTCACCCAGACTGGCCAGGCACCCCAGTGGGGACCCCCACCCTGAAGGGGGTGTGACCAGCTGCAAACAGCCATCATCCCCTCA